CACAGTTCTGTGTAAAACATGCTTGCCTGTTTGCTCATTTAAAAAAACTGCTCTTTTCCTCTTTTTTCCCTTCAAGACCAGGCTTTGGGCCCCCCCGGCAAGGAGCGAGGTCATTGGTGTTGTTGGTTGATGTGACCCCCACCCAGGCCCCAGACTGTGCATGGCACACGTAGGTTCTCAGTCAATACGTGTAAGTGAATTTCGAGTCTTGACTGGAGATTTGGGTATGGATGGTTTCTCTTGCCCCGCCCCCCACAGCTGTCATTGAATGGGGGTGTAGTGAACGGAACCTTGACCAGGGCTGGCACTCAGGAAGCAGGGCTGGGCCACATACTTATGGAGTCCTGCTGTGTTCCTAGGCTGGTTGTTGACCCAAGGGTGTGACAGCCAGGGTAAGTCCGTCAAGGAGATACACAACCCATTAAACAATACACGTGATGATGATGATGATGATGATGATGATGATGATGATGTGGGATCTAGAAGCTTCGAAGTGCTATGGGCAAAGACTAGAAGACGGTAAAGTGTGTGTGGGGATTCGGGGAGGCCTCAGTGAGGAGGTAACATTTGAGCTGAGAACCGAAGGACGTGAGGGGGTAGCTGTGGGGACACGTGGGGGAAGAGGGTTCCAGGCAGATGGCACAGCAGAGCAATGGTCCTGGGGCAGCCCCGGGCCTGGCGTGTTGCAGGAACAGCGAGCAGAGCGGGCAAGGAGAGGGAGGAGGGGAAGGTAGGGAGGGGACAGGCAGGTCACGCAGGGCCTTGTGGGCCTCAGACTTTGACTCTGAGGGAGGTGGGAGCTCTGGAGGACTGTGGGCAGAGGGTAGGGCTGGGATGCTCATGGCCACCCTCTGGTGGCTGCTTCGGAGAAGACATTGTGGGGGAAGGACAGTGGGCTGTTGCAGGAGGGTGATGATGGGGGCTGGCCCCTGCTTGGGGTCCTGGAGATCCAGAGTGGATCTCGAGACTGCAGACTCTGGCACCTGGGGGGCTCAGTCGGTTGACTTCAGCCCGGGTCATGATCTCTCAGTTCGTGAGTTCAAGCCCTGCATCAGGCTCACTGCTGTTGGCCTGCCTGCGCTCTCCCCGCTGATAAATAAATTATTAAAAACAAACAAACAAAAAAGACTGTGGACTCACAAAGGGGTGAGAGGGAGAAAGAATTAGCCCCTCAGGCCCTATGGGCCCCTCTCAAAAGATAGACTGGTATGTCCCACCCCGGACCAAAAGGCACCCCCAGCCCACATCCAACATAGCTTTTTAAATTATTATTTTTTTAATGTTTTATTTATTTTTGACAGAGAGAGCATGAGCGGAGGAGGGGCAGAGAGAGAAGGAGACACAGAATCTGAAGCCGGCTCCAGGCTCTGAGCTGTCAGCACAGAGCCCGACGTGGGGCTCGAACCCACAGTCTGCGAGATCATGACGCAAGCTGAAGTCGGACGCTCAACTGACTGAGCCACCCAGGCGCCCCACCAACATAGCTTTTTAAAGGAATCGGTGGGGAGTGTTGCTTTTGAGATCACTTGGCCTTGTCCCACTGGGTTGCTTGTACCCCAATCACGACCGCTTGGGAAGTGTTTCGGAGACACGTTGCCCAACAACGGCTAGTAATAACCACAGAACTAACGCCACGTGCCTGCTGTGAGCCGGGCCTGCTCTCTGGGCCTCGGTTTCCACATCTGTAAAACAGGACCAGTGAGAGCTCCCTCTGAGGGCTGCTGCAAGGATTAGATGGGCTAAGAGTACCAACGGAGCCTTCCCGGCGGCTGGGAGAGGCTCTCGCAGGCTCCTTTGTCTCATTTAAGCCGCTCCTGGTTTCTTGGCCAAGACCCCCGGCTGAGCCTGCAGGGCTGAGGCAGCCCTTGCAGACTTGCTCCCACTGGGCGGTGTGCCTCCAGGGAGGGGGTCTTTGGGGAGTGTGTGTCCCACTGCCCCAGAGGTCTGCCCTGGTGGGAACACGACCCCCTCCTTGATCACGCACTGGCCGTGCCGCCTGCGGATCAGGCTGCCATCTGCGCAGAACGCCCTTGCCTCTCGCGCACATCTCACAGGACCTCTTCATCCTTGGATCTTCAGACTCTCCCTCCACCTCCCTCGCCCCCAGGCCCTTTCTGAGTTCTCGGTTCCAGACCAGACTGCTTGGGGCTGGAAATGGCTTCATCAAGCTCGGGATGGGGGCAGGGGACCGCTCTTCTCTGGAAAGGTCCTTCACTGCCCCGAGCAGGGGCTGCTGGGGCTGGAGGTGGTGTCCCAGGCAAAGGTGTGTGTTGGGGAGGGGGCGGGGGGCTGGATGCTATAAACAAGGGCCATCCCCATGGGGTCTGTGTGGGGGGCAGGATGATGTCAGTCCCTCACAGCCTCATAAATGTTTATGGGCAAGGGGGTCTGGGTTTGGGGGCTCCCTGGAGCCCCGCAGGCAGCTGCTCTCTCCTGCTCCATTCTGGGGGCCCTGGCAGAGGCCCCCTCCGACACTGGCAGCCAGCCAGCCAGCCCAGAGAGGGCTGAATAGGTGCCGAGCACAGCCCTGGTCTGAGCCGACTAAAGGGGAAACTGAGGCTGGGAGGTAGGAAGGGACTGGCTGGCCGGGAGTCTTCCCTTTCCCTCTGGGGCTTGGGCTTCGCAAAGAGCCAGGGGACTGAGGAAGGATGTACAGGGAGGGGAGGCCCGGGCGGCTGAGAAGTCACCAAAGGCACGGCCCTGACCAGGTCCCCCTGGTCCAGCCCTCAGTGACCACAGGCCCTACCGGCAGCACCAGGTCCTTGGAAACTAAGTTACTCTGTTGCCCCTGAACACTGTTGAGGGAGGGACCCTGTCGCCCCTGCTTGCCACGGAGGACAGACCCAGTAAAGAACTGCGAGCTGGGACTCTGACATGGGTCTGGGACCCCAGAGTGCTCTCAGGGCTCGGCAGGCCCCCCTTCTCCGGGCCCACGGGTGGGGGGAGCCTCCAGCCTTTCTCAGGCCTGGACGCATCCCTGGGCTGGTGCCTGTGCCCAGTCTGGCAGGAGACCCAGAGTGGCTGCGGGGTAATGACGGAACAGCGGTGGCGATGCCCGCAGGGCCTGGGCTCTGCACACGAATTTTAGCTGCCCAACACCTGGCTGAGCGACTACCCCGGGGGTAGACAGAGGAAAGCAAGGCTCCAAGTCTGGCTTCCAACCATGTTGGCACCAGGGTGGGCTGGAGAGAAAGCGGGAGAGACGGGGCCAGATATGGGCGAGGAGGGGGACTCAGGGCCCAGACCCCGCCAGGACCCAATCGCTGCCCGTGCATACCCCTGCTCCCCGGGGTAGGGCCCCGAGAGCCCTAATTTATGGTCCACCTTGACATGTTGGAGCAAGCCTCCCTTTCAGGCTGCCAGGAAGCAGAGCCAGACCCAGGCCTGCGGAGAGCGGGGGGCCAGGGCCGTGCCAGCATTCTGCAGCTGCCTAAATCACTGGGCCTGACAGGCGGCGGCGGGTGAGGATCAGGATTCTTTTCTCTCGTTCCTGCCATGCGCCCCTGCTTTGCAGGCTCCTGGTGGCCTGTCACCCACCTGTCACATGGAGACAAAGCTCCTGGGTCAGCCCGTCTGGGGTGCTCCGCTCCAATGCCAAGGAATTTGGAGTCAGGCTGTGCGTGGGCCCTGGGTGTGTCCCCCCCATGGTGCCCAGAGAGGGGATGGCCCGTGACCTGTGTTGGGGGGCACGGGGGGGCCGTGGGTGGTGGTGCCCAGCTCCCACCCCCAGATGCCCTGTGTTTAGGGCCCAGCTGGCGCCGTGGGCCCTGTCAGAACAAACCCAGATGCCGTGTCTCCTGCTCCCTTGCTGGGCTGCTGCTGAGGTGTCACTGCCGCCCGGCCCTCCCGAGACGGGGCTACATCGCAGACGCCGGGGGAGGAGGGGCGGGAGACTCACACACACCAGTATGCACAGAATTTATTTCTCGTCGCATTTCAACCTGGCCGGGGACCCGGGAGGCGGCGGGGCTCACACCTTGGGTGCTGCAAACACCTTCCAGCCCTCCAGCTGGCCCATCTTGACCAACGCGGCGATCGTGCCCATGTACGCGCACGCGGCGGCTCCGATCCCATAGCTGTGGGCTGCCAGAGTTGGGAGGGTGGCGTCAGTCGCGCGTGGGGCTCACCTGCAGCCACCCAGGGGGCCCAAGAGCATGTCCTTCCCTTGAGGCTGAGGGCTCCTTGAGGATTAAGTCGCGTGACGCCTTGACTTTGAAGACGTGCGCGGAAACCCGGAAACGGAGGCAAGAAGGGATCTAGGCTGTCGGGTCCGGGGGTGGGGCACCCGACTGCGGAGGGGACGGCGCTTTGTTGAGTCTCAGTCTGTGCCCCGGCCACAGGGCCCGGGCCCTGTACCTGCTCTGCGGACCGGGAACGGAAGGGGACAGAATGCCCCTGCTTGCCCGAGAGCCGTCGCTGGGGAGGGAGGTCTGCTTGCTGTATGCAGGGCTCACCCCTACGGCAGGCTGGGGGTGCACGTCAAACCCGACCTTACCCAAGGTCTTAAAGCAAAGGCTAGGGTGCATGGGCCTTCCTCCACGGTGCCCGCCCTCTGCCTGACTGGAACGTTCCACCAAGCACTGGCAGGCTGGTGGGCCAGGGCTACGGGAGGTGGAGAGAGCACTGTCTGCTTCCCGGCTTGGGCAGCTCCACTGTGCCAGCCTGGCGTGGGGCCCTGGCCTGCCTTCCCACCAGGGAGGCACCTCTGCTGGTTCCCAGGTGACCTCGGGCCACCCAAGCCCCCTCTCTGAGCCTCCCTTCCTGCATCTCTAGAAGGGATGGTGAGTGGAAGTCCCCTGGAGGGCTGGGTGTCTGGTCAGTCAGGGCTCTGGGTGCTGGGAGAGGGACAGCAACACAAGGACCATGCACCCTCTCTATGCTTGTGGGGTGGTGGCAGAGACAGGCAGTGACCTCGTGTTCTCTGACAAGCTGCAGCAGAGGAAGGGGATGTGGAAATGAGGGCAGTGGGGGTTCCAGATCATACACAGAGGGGGCTGTGCTGACACCTGGGTGAACGGCACTCCAGGAAGGGGGCAGAGCACATGCAAAGGCCCTGGGGCAGGTCCCGGCCTGGCTTGGAGGACCAGCAAGGAGGCTCACGTGTCTCGTAGAGAGTGAGCAAAGGGGAAAGAGGGAGGAGGTGGGGGCAGAGAGGGGACGGGGCAGATTGTGCAGGGCCTTATGGGCCACGCTGAATGTCGCAGGGAGCCACAGGAGGGTGTAAGGGCTCGGTCAGGTACACATGCGGTAGGTGCTGAAGCAGCTGCCCTTACTATTGCTGAACTGGCCGGTGGCGGAGGGTCAAAAGCCCCGGAAGGATTTCCTGGGGCAGCCCCTCTCCTCTGCTGGGGCGAGCACTCCACACAGCTGGCCCCTGGTCCAGGACAGAACGGGGGGTGGTGGTCAGCGGAGGTCAGGGGCGGGGGGGCTCACTCACTGCGCGCTCCCAGGGTCAGGCCTCCGGCACAGCCTCCGATGAAGTAGTTGAGGGGGTCGTCGGGCTTCTCTCGGACCTGGGCACTGATGCAGGAGGTGAGGCCAAATATGGCACCGATGGCGGCTGTCGGGGTGGCAGCGGGGGGGCGGGCGCCGAGTCAGGGCCCAGGGGCCAGTGCCAGGAGGGCCCCCAAGGAGAAGCCAAGGCTCGCTTACCTGCAGTAAATGTGTATCGCCCTGTCCTCGCCACTCCCTCCAGGAAGGAATCTGGCGGCTGCAGCGTGACACTGTAGGCGGAGAAGATCAGGCCTGCGGGACCAGAGCGGGTGAGGTGTGTGGCACCAGGGCCTGGGCACCGAGGCGAGGCGAGGCGCGGCCCTGGCTGGGGGCAGTCCCCCCTGCTATCAGAGAAACCCTCTGTCCCTCGGTCCCCACAGCACCCTCAAGGAGGCTCCTAGCAACCCCCCAACCAACCCCCCTGCCCAGGAAGGGACTGTTCTGGGGTTCACCCGGGGCCCCACAGCTGCTGAGCAGCCAAGGTGGGATTCCAGCCCTGTCTGCTGTTCCAGAACCTGGGCTCTCAGCCCCACCTCTGCACCCCAGGCCCCCCTCCGCAAGGCCTGACCCCTCACCCTCCATCGCGCACCGGCCCAGCATGCAATGGACGGAGAACAGGCCTGGGGCCTAAGTGGCTGGGCCGCTCCCTGGCCTCCAGGGTCAGCACAGACACCACAGCTGCACCCCACAGGCCCTGCTCCCCACTCCCGTCCAAGGCTGCACTCTCCCGTGGGGCCCTGGGCTCCTCAGCCTGATCCTCCTTGGCAGAGACCTGGCTCCTGGGCCTGTCCCTCATCACCCTGGGGCCCCCTCCCTGCTAGCGGCTTGGGCTTAGGGCCATCCCTCACACCTGGCTGGCTCGGCAGCCGCTCACGCCCACCCGGCCTCACCACCCGGTCAGCTTTTCCATCTCTGCTGTTGCCCTGGCCTCCCTGCCCGACCCTGGCTTTTACGCATGAGGGGCCCGCTGGGGGCCGGGCCTGGAGCTGAGCGGTGGGTGGGTGGTGAGGACAGAGGCCCCGTCCGTGGGCATCCTGAGCAAACACTGGCCTGGGCTGGTGTGCGGGTCTGGGGCGAGGCCAAGGCAAGCCCTTGGGCAGCTGCCCTCACCAGATCCTCCTCGGTGGGAGGCAGACCAAGCCCACCTGGCTGGCTCTGAGTCACCAGAAACAGCCCAACGCGGGGCTCCCCGACCTCCAGCTGACCCTGCTCAGGGCAGACAACACACCCCTCCTCTCCCTATAGACCCCCAGCCTGGCCTAGTTGCCAAAGGGACCTCCAGGGCCAGCCCAGCCTATCCCATCCCAGCAAAACTGAACTGTTGTTTGCCAGCTCACATTCCAGGCCGCACATAGACAGTGCCCCCGTCACCCCGGAGCCCTCAGAAGTCCTAGAACTGGGAGTGCGTGACCCAGTTGTCCCCGATTATCCCAGGGTCAAAGACTGCCCCATCCCAACTCTCTGCTAGCAACCATCCAACATGGTGGGTGACCTGCCACAGCCCCCCCTCCCCAGGTCCTCTGATCCCCAGCACATGAGAATCTGTAATGACTCAGACCTTTCCACGGCCCCCCATCACCCCATTGAAGGCCCCCTTCCTGATCCCCCACTTGCTCCAGCAGTGACCTCCAGACACAATGCACACACTCATTCACTGTGCACCCACATTCATTCATTCATTCATTCATTCATTTGTTCACTCATTCATTCATTTGGTTCCTCTGTACCTTCATTCACTCATACATTCATTCACTGTTACTGTGAACCCTAATCCATCCATCACCCATCCCAAAGAGTTACTGAACGCCTAGGGGCGTCTGGGTGGCTCAGTGGGTTAAGCATCCGACTTCGGCTCAGGTCATGATCTCATGGTTCGTGTGTTCAAGTCCCACGTCAGGCCGGGCTCTGTGCTGACAGCTCAGGGCCTGGAGCCTGTTTCGGATTCTGTGTCTCCCTCTCTCTCTGCCCCTCGCCCGCTCATGCTCTGTTGCTCTCTCAAAAAAAAATATAAACATTAAAAAAAAAGAAGAGTTACTGGGTGCCTTCATTCATTCATTCACTCCCCAGGGGCTCACCATCTCAGGAAAGCCAGATGGGACACAAGAGTGTTCTCTCAGTGAGGGCTGAGGGGAGGCAGGGAATGAGGGAGGGTGAGGTAAGGAAGGATCCAGAAGCCAAGTCCCGTATGTTACATGGAGTTGGCCAGGGCGAACACGCAGGTGGGCATAGTGAGCAACACACAC